AATCATATATGATTAACTTTTAAGAAAAAGGAGTTGTAGATATGTATGAAAAAAAAAATCGTTGCTATGGACGTTGCTAAGAAGATTACTTTTGACTATGATCAAATAATCAAGAAATAGACATACTTATGTGTTTTTTTTTTGAAAATTTTAATTCAGAATCAGATTCCTCGTTGATTTTTACACTTAAAACATGAAAAACCTAAAATTTCAAAAAAAATTATTTTTTGGCTATTTTGACAGGGGTGAGCCCCCTTAATGATAGTAAAAAAGTAAAATACGTCATAATGATTATGCAAAGCAAAAGAAATTTAAAAAAACAAGAGTAAAGTCAAAAAAAAAAAAAAAAAAAAAAAAAAAAATTTAAAATCTAAGTAGTACAGTAACCAAATAATAATAAAAAATATAGTTTAAATTTTAAATTAATAATTTTATTTTTAGTCTTTATTTTAATTCAAATTATATTTAATTATAAGTGTATTTGGCATTATAATTATAATTAATTATAATGACAAATACACTTATAATTAATTGTACAAAATATTTTAGATTACATTATGATTAATGTACCATTAGTAAAAAAAACTTTCCTATTTCAAATACCAATTTTTATATTTTTGGATGGTAACTTATAAGTTTAAGATATTTTAATTTTTCAATAAAAAATCGAATTAGCGGCACAATTAGCGGCACATAGACTCGACAATTAACAAGAGTATTTTAATTTATTGCTTTTATATGTTTTTATCTAAACTTAGTAAATAAATGATTAAACTTATACATTACGTGTTCTTTAAAATTATTACTTGTTCACAGTTATTTTTTTTTTACTCATTCAAATATCGACTAAAATTTGTCCACTTTTCTATAACTTTATAGCTTTTCAATTATTTTTTCTGCTCTTCTTTTTCTCTCTCTTCTTTTTCTCCTTCTTTTTCTTCTTCTTCTTCTTCTTTGTATGTTGTTTACATTTTTGATGACACTTTTTCTATGTTTTACCGAAAAAATAATGAAATAAAAAAATAATGTTCATGAGAAATTTCTTTTTATCTGGTAAGTATCAAACTTTTTATTCAATTTTTTTATTTCTAACAAAATTTTCAAAATTTGATAAAAACATCTCGTGTGATTTGGAGGAATAAATTAATACAATAAACAACATTTAGTAAGCGTATACATGTAAATACATTAACAAATGCCTTAAACTTGAAAAGGCACTTTATATCTTTAAGTTTTGAAAAATGAAAAAGAAAACAGAATGTAAAAATTTAATATATATAATATGGGGAGTGTTTATTTATAATATCCATGGCAAATAAAATTTAAATAAAAAAATTATAAAGAAAAAGTATAAAAATGGTATGGATCAAAAATTAATTGCAATAAACAAACCGTTTATTTGTATTTTTGTATTTTATTAAAAAACTGCAACCGAATGGTCTTTACCTTCAAGACAAAGTACCGAATGGTCATTGTTCTTGTTATTAAGTCCGCACTTTACACTTGATATCTTTATTTAGATAATTTAAAAAGTTCAGCTTTATAAATGTTTCATGGTAGCACCTGTTTATAGTTGTTTAAAGTGTAAGATAATCATTAATAGATAAATAATTTTTTGGTAAACATAATTGTATAACTTCATGGTTCGTTATACTTGAGATGATTTAAAAACAATTACATTACTATTGCAGTGTTTTTGTTCTTACAATTTACAATAAAATCCTAAAACTATTGTATAGTGTAGCTGTGTTGAAAAATAATTAGTCGCTATTGTATTGTCATAATGAAAAACAATTACAATAGTTATTGTTGTGCGTTAGGGTTATGTTACTATATTTAAAAGCCCAAAAGCTATTCTTATAGCCTGACTCGCAACGGAGTGCTGCTACATCGGAGTGCTGCTATATTTTCATATTGTTTTCGTCTAGTTTCACTTAATTTACTTTTATTTTTTTTTTTAATATTTTTTTCGCTTAAAAGTCCTTAAAATATACCGCTAAATTAACTACAATGGTTCGCAAAAAAGTTCACATTTTACCAGTTCGCAGTTCGTCAGGGTTAGGGTTAGGGTTTCACATTCGCTACCTTCGAGGAATAGCGCATAACTTGACATTTTGATGAAAAATGAAGTATTTTATATAAATATTTAAAATAAATTTTTTGGGGGGATATTTCCCGTGGGGATTTTTTCTCGGGGGGATTTTTTCCCGGGGGATTTTTTCCTAGAACCCTATTATTTAGGTATTGTTTAAAGATGTGAGCTACTTTTTTTGGGCAATATTTAGCAGCAATTTTTCTTAAATTTTTAGATTTCTCAACGCCTATCAAACGAAAATTTTAGGCCTACTGTTTTTAATACTATTTTCGTATTACAAAGTTATTTTAAGTGGACCTTTATTAGTATATTTATTAAGTATTTAATGGTGTCCAGTGAATAAATATCTGAACCTCAAATTAAAGTTGCCTTAATTTGAATTCAAAGGACTTGTTCATTATCATTAAAACTCTTACTTGAGGCGTTGAAAACCTGATGGAGTTGATATTCATCATCTTTTGAATCAATTTCTTAAAATTGGTTATATTATATATCTAAACAAGTTGGTATTGCAATATAGCAATTTTTTGAAAATTTTTCTTGGGCCTGAATCCCAATGTCTGTTGAATGTATTTTCGCTTTAGGGTAGTAGGATTTCTGCTTTAGAAAGCAAAAGACAAGGAGCTGTTTATGGAAAAACCTAAACTTTCAGAACTTGCTACTAATTTATGCCTAAAGATGAACCTTTAAGTTTGCCTAAAAAAACTAATTTCAGCATTCTTCCGGCTACTTTTTGTTTTTCATTTTTAACTTATGTTGATAAATGGTGTATTAGGCAAAAAAAAATTTATGGTAGAAAATAGTATTTTTTCATATTTGCTCTCTATTGATTTCAAGAAAGATCTTTTCAAAACAGTTAGAAAATTTTCGTATATAACTTGAGGCGGTCTATAACAGATGGAAGCTTATATGCTAAATTTGATAATAGCAATTACGATTGTAAAGACCTCAGAATCGGAATCAGAAATGGAGTGATGTTTTTTCAGAACATCTCAGAACAAGTTTGAATTCAGAACACCAAGTTTTTGTTAGGCAAACCATAATGAATAAATAATTGAGCTCAATTAGTAAATGTTGTGGTTAGAATTTGTATTTATACAATTTTGTTTACAAATATAATGAAGTTGTTTTTAATAAATTTACATATATAGTTATTTATGTTAAAAAAAACTTACGGTACTCTATATTCGTATCTAATAAAATCTTTGGTTTTTATAAGACACGAGTATTTCTGACGCTAATAAAAAGGTTTTAACAATTGAAATTTTACCAACTAAAAGAAAAAACACTGTGAGAAATTGTTGTGGTCACACCAACTTAAAAATTTATCTACTTCTTTTAATGTTTGAAATAAAAGAAGTCATAAAAAGAAACTAAACTCAGTATTAGGCTATTTGAACATAAATTGCTTAGAGTATTTTGTCAAAATGAAGCAATTCATTTAATAAATAAACCAACTAATTTTACTCAACTATCAATTTCCTTAATTGATAACATCAATTTCCTTAATTAATAACATTAGTTTCGTTAATTGATAACATTTTAACCTTCAATATTTTTTATGATGCCCATAAAAAAGCATTTAAAGTGACGTCTCTGATCTAATGAATTTATGACCTACAACACTATTTTATAATACGAACATAATCAAAATATCTGAGTAATTTCAAAAAGTTTAGGAATTTTATGCAAAGCAAGAAACATTTTAAATAAACATATTTTAGTTTAATTATATTTCTCATTTAATCGTTGTCATTGATGTTTACGATTCATTTTTATGGAAATAGAACATTTAAAATTTTTTAAAACTTTTTGCAAAATTTAATACAACGATGAAACGACAACTATTTCAAACAACAGGTTAAAAATTAATTTTTACACGCGATGGTGTATAAATAACTTTTAATCATCAAGCCCTAGATTCCAGTTCGATTTTGTTGAATTGAAAGAAGATTACTTTCCTCAGGGAATTAGTCAAACTCATCCAACCATTAAATTCATCAACTTTAATGATTAAACGGCTGATCCTTCAACGATATAAAGAAATTGATATACAAGAATTTAAAGAAAAACTTACAAATTTAAAACAAGTCTAGACAAAACAATTTACTATAATAAGTATAAACAAACGTTATCCATCCAGTCGGAATCACGTGACCATCATTTTTGGTCCAGTGCCCACTGGGCAGAGGTCCGAGGTTCGACGCTCAATAAGCGACATTGGTAAGGGAGGAAACGTAAGATTCCTAGATAAATGCTCTTCCACGGTGGTCTGTGATAAGACCTTAAGAACTTCTGGGAGCACCTTAAATAACTACATCAATAAAAAAAGGTCATATTTATTTGTGTTTAGCGTTGCTTTTATGTTAAAAATGTTTATAAATCTATAGAAAATTCTAAAATTTTTTACTGCATGTGAAAATTTCAGAATTAAAAAAAATATAGAACTAGAAACTATATTAAATTATACTAACTTTTGCGTAATTTCTATGAAATAATGAAAGTCAAAAGTTTGTGTCATGCATTTTTAACTATTTGAAAGAAACTTTTTTGAAAGAGGATGTACTAACTTATTTAAAACTAGTTTACCAAAGTAAACTAAACCAAACTATCTTCACCAAACTAAAAACAAATTGACCACTATTCAAACAAATATTTTCTTTTCTTTTTTTTCAATATATTTTTTCGACATTATTGTTTAATCTTAATAAGTATCAGAATAATTTAATTATTCTGTTTTTTACCAGCACTTTTTTTATACTTAGTTAACAACCACAAATTTGTTATTGACACCGTTAAGCAGCTTTTTTAATTAATAGTTCATACGTCGTAATGACATTCATAAATATAAAATAATAAATGTTTTAGTTATAACGTCATCGAGTATAATTTTTCTTGAATTTTTATGTTTTTAAATATTTGTCAGAATCTGTGTTTAACACCGCTTCCTCATATAACCGTAATAATGAAGCGAGTGGGTTGAAAATTAGAAGAGTTTAAGTTGAAAGGCATTAATTACACCACAAACAAATTATCCAAACTTGCCTGTATAAAGGTTGTGTAGCGTTTGATTAACTTAAAAAAAAAGAGGTGGAAATTTGTTTAGTTGACGATTTTCAGTTTTTTTAAATTTACAAAAGTTTTGCCGGCATTTTGCATTTTTTTGTTTTGAATAACCTTGTTGCTGGTATACATTGTGCGATTGAATTACCTTTTTATTATTACAATAATAACTTTATTTACAGCTGTTACACGTCGATTATCAATCAATAGTAAGTGGTAACTTAAAAATTTGTTTTTGCTATTTTTTTGGTAGTTTGTAACTGTTATATGTTTGTTGTCCTCCTGTTTTTGTAATTAAAATATTATTATTTATCGTCGCGCCTTGTTTTTATAAATATATTTTATAAGTAATAATAATAATAATAATATATAGTTGATATTATTTAAATCATTTATCTTTTAATAACGAAAAGTATGTTTGATATAAAGAGCAATTATTAAAGAGTTTTTTTTTATCACAAAAAATGAGTAATTGTACATTCAATAATCATTTTTTAAAACGTTGAAAGTGATTACCATTTACTTTACCCCTGAGTAAGAAAAAGCGGGAAAAAGTTGTATGATAATGCAGTATTTATAAATTACATTATAAATGTACATTATAAATAATTTTAATGTAACGATTGCATGTTTCCTTTATCTAAAAAAAATTGGTAGCGTAATAAAAACTATATCTGCTTTTAATATATTTATTAGTATTATAATTATTAGAATAAATACAATGCAAAATCTTAATTATGCAAACATATTTAGTTACATAATTAAATTAATTTTTTTTTTTATATTTTAATGACTATGGTTCTAAGCGTAGACAAGTTTTTTGTTTTGTTTTGAAATTTTGATTACTGTAACTATCAAAAAAAAAAAAAAAAAAAATTATACCAATATAAACATACCAAATCCTAAGACTTTATATCTGTCTGGAAGTCATTTTGCATATCAAAAACAACATTGCCCTTGTTTGGTAAAACTATTACAAGTTAAAATACTTTCATAAACCTATATTTAGAACTAAAAAGAGAATTCATCCAAAACAAAATTGTTTTGAAATATATTTTACAACAGATAGTTCATAATTAGAGTTTAGAACTATATTTCATAATAGTAAAAAATTTACATTTCAAGAATGGACTTATGCAAATATGCATTATAATTTTTAACAACAGTTCTTACATGTTGATGGATTATTAGGTGTCCCTTATAAGTGAATAATTTGCATTATTATTTGCATTATCAAATGATTTTTTCTTGAAAATTTTTATAAAAGTTTGTTCCTACCCACAAATCTGTGTGAGAGAAATAGTATGAGAAAAATGGGGTTTATTAGATATAGACGTAAATATTTTCCTTGATTTTTACAGATTTAGTAAATAACACGTTTAGAGGATCTTTTTAAATTTAAATTATAATTTTATTATTTAGTGTATTGCTTGATTAACGTCCTATTATCCGCCGCTATTCTGCCATTTATATTATGCACTGACAGTGTAAGTAATTATTATGCTATTGGTTAAAAAATCATATTGGTTAAAAAATTTATGATTATTATGTTATGATTATTATTATTTGTTATAAAAGTTATTAATTTAGTTGTTTATTAGATATAATCACAAAATAATATTATTTTCATTGAGAAAAAATGAAAACTACATAAATTTATGTTAACTATGCAACTCTTAAACAGTTATAAATTTTTACTTTTGATTATAATCTTATATTAAAATAAAACTGTCATTCTTAAAGGTGGATTTCAGCTTTGCAATTTTTTTTAGGGGAACGGGAATAGAAAGGAAACAATAGTTTTTGCGAGCATGCGTAGTTCAGCTTCGAAAAAGTTCACCTAGTTATTTTTCCGTTCCTTTTCCGTTTCCTATAGAAAAACACATAAGTGAAAACTTACCTTTACAATGAAATAATTATTCTTAATTTTAAACAGAATTTTGACAAGCAATGTGGAAATGCAGTTGGATGTTTCCGTTTACCAGCAAACTGTAAAGCAAAAGATTGCGACGTTTTAATTACGTACTCCTACGCTAAAAAATATGACCTTTTTGACATAACAATTTCAACCAATCATAAATGGGCTGGATTTGCTTTGGGAGATGAACTTTATGAAGAAGAAATGGTAACTAATTTTTTTTAAATAAAATCTTATACCGGTTATTATTTTTTTTAATATCAAAGTATTTTTTAGATTGGCATAAAAGGCGAAGTATGCTTTGAAAAAAATGGTATTGTTCATTTAGTAAGCTTAAGCGCGACAAAAAATGGATCTCCTGATTTCAAATCAACTCCAAGTGAAGTGGTCAAATTATCAGCAATAAAAACAAAAAAAGGAGGTATTTTGTGTAGATATAGAAGAAGCGCTAAAAGTGCAAACAAATTCTTAACCTCACTTGAATCAAAAGTTTATGCTTTTTATGCATTTGGCGATAAGATTCAGAATAATGGTTTCCCTGCCTATCATGGCTACGGAAGTGCTGGTCACACTGTTAAAGCAACAAATTTGAAAAAAGTCATGCTTCATTGATGAATAATGTTTTTAAAGAATATATCTTTTTACAGTAAAATAGTTTTTTGTAATAAATTTAAATATTGTAACTAAAAAATAACTTTTCTGAAATTAAAACCAAAACAAAGTTAAACTTTTAAATTCAAGTCAAAGAATTTTTTTTTCCTTTTTTTTTTTTTTTGTTTAACGTTTATTGAACCATATATATTTTACGCGAACAATGATATCTTGTTTTTAAAAAAAGGTAAAACAAGAAAACTTATGCACAGAAGTATATGGTTTAAAATGTCTTAAAAAAATGTTAGAATAAAGATTATTATATTATATTATTATTTTTAAGTTAAAGCTATATGTACTTTACTTTCGTTAAATTCTAAAAGCTCTGTTTTGCAACGGTTGTAGATATATTACAACGGCTACCTAATCAACTTTTTCCTATTATGAAAGTAGAAGTTCGCTTTATGTCTGCACTTAGATTAAACTCGGTTGAATCCAAATTTATTAAAATTTTGATATTTTTGAATTTGGGAAATAAAATTCAAGTTGGTCAAAATTTGACTAATTTTAAATTCAAACTTCAAATTTTTTTCAAATTTGGTCTTTCTCGAATTTTTCAAATTAATATCAATATCATTCGAAAAAATTAACTTTCATCATTCTTATCTGACTCATCTACATAAATCTTTACGTAGATCTTCGCCCTTTGGCAAGTTATCATTGCAGTAGATCAGTTTTCGACATCAAGCTTTGTTCTTTTTTACGTAACAATTGCGCTTCCTGATGAGAAAACTTGCTCAGAGCTAGCAGACGACGCCTGAAAAATTAATAAAACTTTAAACCAACACAAAAAAATTTATGTTGGTTTAAAATTTGAATCAACAAAGAAAAAAGAGATCAGAAAATTTTGAATGAATAAGTTTCAAATGACCAAAGTTTAAATAACATATCAGTTCGAACATTTTGTAATCCCCATTTACGAATTTCCAAAAAAAGTATTTTCTAGCACACCTAACAATAAGAGTTTACATCTGAGGATCTGTCAAGTTGAGGTATCTTTTCATTTGCATGAACAGGTACTTCAACTTTGCAGCATCGGGCTAATGATTAACTCAAATAATGACTGATTGGGCTGGTTGAACTGAGGAAACCTCTATTAGCCTTGAAGAAACAAGATTAATTAATTAAAAAAATTTAATTTTTTAAAAAAGCGAATTTTTTTTTAGTTCTTTTTACCTGCCCTTGTCTTACTCATAAATACCTCAATAATTCTTTTATTCAAGTCCTGGACTGGCCCAACTTTATCCTCCTAGATCATCAGCTTCACCTATTCCCCGTAAGTCGAATTTTCATGTTGGGCAACTGTGAGTCCTTTGTAAAATGGGTGGAAAATTGCTCCTTAAGCATAGAGTTTGTTTTTGGTGCCACAAACCGGATGTCTCTTTCATAATTTGACTTTAGAGTTTTGCGGGATACTTTGTTTTTTTTTCGCTGATCGACTTTCTCTGATGTAGAGATGCTCTCTCTCAAGCAAGCTGAGAGAGATGCTCTCTCTCAGCTTGGGATTAACTCCCTTGCTGAAATTTTTCCTGATCCTCTCAAGGGCATACCTGAACTTCGGGATAGATCTCATTATCATCAAGTTAGATTTCAGCGAGTCTCAACAGGTGCAATGATTTTTAAAAATTTAACTGAAAAAGATCTGTTATTGAAAGAGATGTATAAAGAATGCATAATTTGATTTGAAACTACTGTCAAACTCGGTTATAAAAAAGGGCTTCAAACTAGCCAAAAACCATGGCTTCCAATCAATGTTATAATCAAGTTTGACTGTATGTTCTTAATAAAACATTAAAAAATTTCAAAAAAAACAAATTAACTACCAGTTTCATTAGTTAAAACATCTTTTAATTGATTGTTAATCCGGACGCGACTTTACAGAACCTATATAAGCACAGAATAGCCACTCAAATGCGCAATCTGATTCGCTGATTTTGAAAGAGAGGCAAGTCTGCAAAAATTTAAAAAACAGTAAAATGTAAACAATATTTTGATATCACATCCACGTGTTTCTGAATGTAAAGATTACATTTTTATCCAAAAATGAATTCAATGCCTAATTTATTTAATTCAAAATTAATTTTTGAAGATGAAAATGTCGTTCAAGTAAGAACGTCAATTAAATCAGAAGAAGAAGAAAATGCTTGGGTTAAAGAGTATGGGAATAAAACACACACTAGCTGGGTAAAATCGTACAAGCTAAGTGCGCCTACAAGGTTAGATTTTTTTAAAACCAATATTATTTTTAATGTGCAGATAAAGAAAAACACATTATATATAAGTACTTAAACTAGGATTGGTCAAATTTTATTTAAGAAGCAACATTCTATGAGGGATTCATTTATTATGTAAAACTTGGTTGGAAAAATTTAATATGCTTTATAGCTTATTTATGTATTTTTAATTAAAAACTATATACATTTAAGTTATAAAAGCTTCTGGCACCCAAATAACTCGCTACGCTTATTAAAAGTTACTTCAACTTTATTCGAACAATTAAACTTACATAAAGTTATAAATAGTTTTATTTATATATAAGTTATTTAATATATAAGCATCATTTATTTATAGTTATTATATACAATATATGTTGATTATATATAATTATAAATATATAATATAAGCTATTTATACATAATCATCTTTATTAATGGTGTTATTTATATATAATCATCATAATCATGGATATAAAGATTGTAAATTTAAATTACAAAAATTGCAACAAATTTGTTTTTTTATGTTACTATTTTATTTTGCATTATGTGTTCTTAAATTTTGTATTACTTTTTGTGTCAAATTTAATTAAATGGTATTATAGGAACCATCTAAACCAAATTAGATACTCACTATATATAACTGAAATTATGACCAATAAAATTAATTATAATCTAGTTGAGCTGAAAAGGTTACTATATATGTTTTGCAAGACAGTTTTAAAAAGATTTACTAACTTTTTTTTTTTTTTTTTATTCGCGTTCACTCCCAACAAGACTGCAAGCAACCACTATTAAGTTGGGAGTTACTAGGAAAAAAAGAACAAAGCTATAGAGCAAGGAAACGGTTGACAGAAGACTTGAAGTTGAAAAGTTGAAGGTTGTATGAGTCAGGAAAACATGAAAATGGGAGAGAGTTCCAAAGGATTGAAGTGCGGGGGAAAAAACTAGATGAATAAAAGTTTTTAGACCATGCAGGGATAGATACAGTAAACGAATGAGAACGTGACAGGAATGTTGTCTAGACCATAAGCTGTCGATGAGTTTATATGAGATATGACTTTAGCAATGGAAGTCGGAGTGATTTGAATGTCTAACAATAGGTCAACCTGTTTGACTGGAATGGAAGGAAGAAAATGGCCATAAGATTCAAGAGTGGAATTAGAAGAAAAGTTCTTTGCAAATAGTTCTGCCTTATCCTTGGGAGAGTTAATAAGATCAGTCCCATGAATGAGAGATGGAATTTTAGATCTACCCTTGTTAATAATGCTGTTGAAGACTTTAGACCCTAACTTTTGTGATAAGATGCGAGTTTTAGTGAACTGAGAATAATGGAGTTTAGCATCAGAAAGCACCTTTTTACATCAATTTCTTGCAATAATAAATAGCCGTTTATTCTCAAGAGAGTTGTTCTATTGAAAAAGATAAAAAAAAATGATTATGATTAGATATAGCTGCTGCATAAGAAGAAGAAAACCATGGGGTCGAATGAGGCTTGACTTGAAACCAACGAGAAGGAATAAAAGCTTCCATTCCAGCCTGAATCCAGGAGGTTACGTAGGAGGCGCATTTATCAGCTGAGAGAGAAAAAACATCAGCCCAAGGACCATCAAGAAGAAAATCACGAAAAGAATCCCATTCAGCATTAGGGTAGCAGTAGGTGGTGCAATGATATGGTGAGCCCGAAAAAGAATTACGAGAGGAAAGATTTATAGATATCATTGTATGGTCAGAACCACCTAAGGGAGAAAAGGGAGAAACTGAACATAAGCTAGGGTCAGATACAAGACATAAGTCAAGGAGTGAAGGTAAATGATTAGGGTTGTCAGGAAAACGAGTCACAAAGTTAACAATTTGAGTAAGAGATTGAGAAAGTTATAGGCTTTAGTGCGAGCAGGATCAGCGGTGTTAGAGCAAAGCCATTCAGAGTGATGAGCATTAAAGTCACCAACAACAATATTGACAGAGGGGTAAAGAGAGAGGGCATGGTCAATTTGATCAGAGATAACATCTAAAAAAGTGCAGTCATGGGAGGAAGGAGAGCAATAAAGAACTAAAAGAAAGGTGATAGAGTGAAGAGGTGCTAGGCAAAAGCACATAAAAGAATGGTCAAAGGATTTGAACCTGATTTCACGACAAATAGGGGAATTAATGCGTATGTATACCCCCAAACCTAGCATGTGACTATTGGAGTCTTTGCGAATCAAAAGATAGTACCCATCAACACTGACAACTGAAGAAGGAATTGCAGAGTTTAAATTTGTCTTACTGAGAGCAAGCAAGTCTGGTAAATTTTGCAGGAGGTAAGATTCAACTGATCGAAAGTTGCTTCACAGATCACGAATATTTGTAAAAGATATATTAAAACAGTTTGGTGGTGGGGATGGTTTTTTAGGTTTAAAATTTTGGGTTACTTTAGTCATGATTTGAGTTTATTTATTTAACTAATATTTTTTAATTGGTTTGAGTAATGTGATATTTTTTGAGTTCATCGTAATTGTATTAATTTTATTTATACTTTGTTTTTATTAAATGTGATTCAAAACTAATGCTAATGGAAAATAAGTAAATATTTAATACAAATATTCCTTATTGCTATTATTTCTCAACAATTACCTACATATTGCTAGTAATTCCTAATATCTTCTTATCATTGTTTATTTTTTAGAGTGCATAATGTTGAAATGTGATTTAATTTTGTAAATTTTGATGATTAAAATTTACTTTTTTGATCATAAATCAACAGTCGAGGAAAGAAGATTTGATTCAACTTTAACATGGTCAAAAAGGTTTAAAACAAAGTTTCAGGTAATAATTATTATTTATTCTAATGTCTTATTGCATAAATTGAATCAAGCAAAGCCTAATAATAGAGAGCTGCTGAACAGTGTTTTCATTTGACAAATTGCTAATACTGTCGCCCACAATGAAACCCTTAAGGTTTGTCTGTTGTCAAACCCTAAAGTAAAGTTTTGAACTAATATATTCCTCACATAGTGTTGCTTCTTAAAGTTAGGCAAAAGTATATATATTTTCATCATTATCATTTTTTTTTTTTTTTTTTTTTCCTTAGGTAAATAACATAATAACATACATGCAGAAATCATTCTATACCTGATTATGTCTTGATTTTGATAAAACATGTATAAAAGTTTTAAAAAGATTCTTTATAATTATCTTTAGACTTGTGGCACATCGAAAATACAAATGTCAACATTCCAGACTAAATAAGAAAACTATATCAAAGAAAAATACCTGATGTATTGCTGAAATTGATGTTAAAATTAAAAAAGTCAATTCAAACACTAAAAAAAATAATACTTATCTTAAAGAAGAAACTCCTCTTTGTGGAGTTATATTAATTAAAAAAAATCATAACATTGAATGTGCTGATTCAATGAAGTACTTGCAAGTATCTTTAGATACAAAAGAACATTTTTACAATTATTTTGATAGTGGATTAACTCCAGCACAAGCGAAACACATGCATGCAGATAGTTTTATATATAATAAAAATGGCCCGTTTCTCTTAGGTGATGCCTCTCTGAATCCTTCACATCGTTCAATATACTATTTATACAGCCTTTGGCAAGAAAAATATTTTGCTATTAAAAACCCTTTAGAGTTGATAAAAAATAAAAGAAGCATATATCAAGAATCAGGTAAAATGATACAAGAGTTGTAAATATATACCAGTTTGATATACAATTGATGCTTTTTTTAATTTATATTTTTCATATTAAATTAAATAAATCATAAATTTAAAAGAATTATTAGATATTACCCAAAAAAAGTCTACATATTTATAGGTTTTTTTTAAAATGGGTTATTCCATATCAAATCAACAAGTAAATCACCTAGTAGACATAAACATATTAAATCTTATAGAACTAACAAATATCAGAAACTGGTAATGACACTGATTATGTCATTATTATTAGTACTTAATTAAGACATTAAGTCATTAAAAAGAAAACTGAATATATTCATTCAAAGATAAATAAAAAGTATACTACTGTCATCTCTATGACTAATTATTCGACTATGACCTAAGGCTAGCTCATAGTCTAATAACATTCTCCTTTTGAAAATATCATCACTCTCAAAAGGCTACAATCATGTCATAAGATAGAGTATAGTTCTTTAAATTTTTTTTGGTGTTTGTCTATATATAGAACCTCAACATTAAAAAGTTTTATGATTTATTTCAACTGTCTACGCTAATTTCTACGCCAGCAAAGTCGATGTAATTTATCATAATTTAAAAAAAAAGTGATTTTTTAGTAGGCTGCTGCATGTGCTAAATTAATTTTTAATGCAAAATTTTGATTATTCTAACAAGTGGTAACCCTAAGTACACAAAGGTAACAAAAAAATCCACTTTCTGTAAGTAAGTATTAAACTGTAACACGTTAAAGTTCGAAAAAATATTTATTATATTGCAATATTTAGCAACTTTAAGGTACAATAACTCAAAAACTGTAAAAAATCAGTCAAAAACAACTGCAATAATGGATTATTTGGGTGAAAAACTATTACCCTACAAAATTTCAGGTGATCACCATCTTTATTTAAAAAGTTATGGTTTGTCAAAAATCGAAAAAAACTGCTGTAAGCTCCTGATACACAAATTTTTCTGATTTTGGACATTTTTAATTCAATCATAACTTTTGAACAAATTGGTCAATCGAGCTGAAATTTTCTGGATCGTATTTTTTTCATAAGATCTGTGTGTGTTCAAAATTTAAAGCAAATCTGAGGTGGTACCCTGGGAGCCTTTAGGTGATTTGATATGGAATAACCCACATGCAAAATAATTATAAATTATTTGGAGTAAATTAGTTTAACTTTAGTAAAATGTCTTTTAAAACAAGCATGGAAATGATGCGGACAATGGTAATTTTAATGTAGGTGCTTTAGTGTCTGTAATTGAAGCCACGGCTGTTTCAAGCGAGCTTTACGGCTTCTTGTTGTTTTTTGAAAATATTCACGTAAGGGGTGTTACCAAAACTTTTATAACTTTTGAAACATTAGAGGTAATTTTGTTCTGTAAAAAGAATAAAAACACCAATAAAATGTTTTATTTGATGGCGTTTCACAGATATTATAAAAAACTTCTTTAATTTTAGAATAAACGCGGCAAATGTTGAACTTGGTGTTGATGTTACTTTTTATCAAAAAAAAACTCAGAAAGAATATATTTTCGATAATTATTATTAAATATACACATTGTTGGACTATTATAAAAACAAAAAAATCTAACTTAAATGTTAAAAAATTTAAAACTAAAGCTTAATACCTAAAAATTTAAAGCTTAAGCTTTAAAGCATCCAATGTATAGTATTAGTATCTCGCTTTCACTAGAATGCATAGTGATAAATAAACTTCTTTATACAAATATAATACAAACAAATAAAATCAAATAATAATTATTGACAAATAACAAGTATGCAATAGATATTAGAGGATATAACAACTTATCTGATGTTTGTAGATTAGCCACGAGAGAAAAAAACCGCCAAAGTTTTTTTTATTTATACACTAAAACTTGTCTCGCTAAAAAAGCTGTTTTAATAAATTCAATTACATAGTGAATTGGGAATTAACGCATTTAAAGTTACGTCATTGCTTCAAAAATTTTACGCATGTAACTACAAATTTTTGCTAAAAGCAACAAAGTTTACCAAGGTTGAAGACGTTTTAGTTAGAAGTACAGAAAGTAGTTTTTTTGATTTTCATGTGCATAGAGGTTTGAAATTTTAATAATTTGGAGGGCATAACAAAAATTAAACGTTTTTCATATAAAACAAGTAAAAACAAAAAAAATAATGTTAAAAAAACTAACTAAAACTATTTTTTTTATCTGTGCCCTCCAAAAATCTGACAGAATAGACATTCGTTTATAAGTATATAAAATTTCAATCATCAAGCATGTAGCTTAAAATATTAAATCTTGATTGGCCCAAGACAGGTTTTCCGTAAAATACGCAAAAAATAGAAAAGTGATCCAAAATCATTAAAAAATATTTTAATAATGCTTATTTTTATTTCGTTTCATGTAAATATTTATTTAACGAAGAAAGATAGTTCTTTTATATTTTTTTAATTCCAAGATAAAAACGTTTATAGAAAAAAAATACTATTAATTTAAAGTTAGTGAATTTTTATACTTTTTATGCGGAAATTCTTTTTTTTTTTTAAACACAAAAATTCTTGTGACGTCAAGCTCGCTCTTATATTGAGTGAAACACCCGTGAAGCAGAAGCAAAATGGTCTGTACTAATTGTAACTGACATGATGAAAAGAAATCAGACAAGAAAATCTTCTTCAGAAATTGTGTTTGTTGACACTACTTCTTCTTGTGAATGTCCATTGTTGACACTACTTCTTCTTCTGAATGTCCAACATGTTTTGGGGGATATCAGGTATTATAAAGTTTATATATGATGAAATGTTTGAATTTGAGTTTATTTTACTTTTTTAATATATAAGGTTTGTAAACTATTGTTGCAGGAACCGGAAGTTTTCATGTTAGATGATTCCAGTCAAGAAAAAATTGGCTTAAGTTCTGTATGGCCGACAGCGAAAATGCTATTATGCTATTTTCATGTTTTACAAGCGCAATGGCGTGGGTTACTTCAAAAAGTTGTAAAAATAGGTAGATAGATAGGAAAAGGCTTTACTTATTGTTTAAAAATGTAAATTTAAATATTGATATATATATATATATATATATATATATATATATATATATATATATATATATATATATATATATATATATCATATATATATTTTTATTTTTTTATATATATATATATAAATATTTATATATTTATATTATATATATATATATATATATATATATATATATATATATATATATATATATATATATATATATATATATATATATATATATATATATATATATATGTATATATATATATATATATATATATATATATATATATATATATATATACATACATACATACATAAGAAATATCTTTATATTATTATATAAATATATGTGTTAATGATTTTTTAAATATTATTGTTATCAATTTTATTATTACTATTTTATTTAACTCTTTATAACATTATTTGTAAAATGAAAGTGAAATGTTATATTACTCCTTTTAGATTATGTATGCAGATACATCAGCAAAACTAGAATTATCATTAAAGGAATTAAAGGGGATAGAATAATCACACCCAAAATTTTACAAGAGAGTTACAGATTATTATGAGCAGAGAAAATTTGAGTTTGTCATGCTTTTCAGAAAAGACCTAATTATTAGAAACCATAACACAAATAACTTTAGTGAAGCAACTATTAGAATTCTAAAAGACATTATTTTAAGCATTTAATGTTGCAGCTCTTGTAAATTACACTGTTAATGTTTGGGATAATTATTATAGGAACCGTCTTCTCAATTCAGCTTATAACCGTTGCTCTTCATATGAAATGTTTTACAACAAGTTATGTCAAAAATCTGACAAGATAACTATTGAATCTATTGAATTGTTAGAGGGTAACAACTTTAGTGTTCCAAGTTTTAAAAATTCTAATGATAAGTATATAGTAAATAGTGATGTTGGATATTGTTCATGCATTAGTGGTCGCCAGGGAGGATTTTGTAAACACATGGCTGCAATACACAAACTGTTTAAAATTAGTTTTCCCTGTGCCCCACCAATAACATCTGATGACAGATATGAACTTGGAAAACTTGCACTGGGGCTAAAGTGCCCCAAGCCGGAATTTTTTCTTAATTTGAGAGATATCAATGAAGGGGAAAATGAAACAATTTCAACTCCAATAGGTTTGTAAATTAAATTTGCAATATTTGCAAGTAATTATGTACTTATAATTTATTATAATAATTCCTTAATGTTGAAATAATGCTTTTTGCAATTGATAAAAAAAGAATAAAATTATACTTATTAAAATATCAATTAACTTCTATCTATTTACCAGTTGAAAATCAGGAAAGTAGTTTGAATTCTATCAACGAAAATGATGTACACATTTTATCTTTAAAATCAAATGAAGAAAAAATTGCTTCTGAAAAATTTGAATCAATAGATTATGAGTGTGAGGAAGCTTTATCTGAATTTAGAAGACTGTTAGATTTAGCCAAAATAGATCCAGAATCAAAAAAAATTATTAACAGCGTAAAACTGAGTCTGAAAAATATAAATACTACAGGAGGTGCTTTGGCTATGCTTTTATCATTAAAAACATCAGTACATTCGAATAAAAGAAATGGGAAAATTAAAACACAGCCAACTGCAGGTGCAAGACGAAGAAAAGGTCTGTCACATGGTAGTAGAACAGTGCCAATGGGAAGACCCACTAAAATCGAAATCCAGAAACGATTTAAAGTTAAGCGACCTAGAGATTTGAAACAAGCTGTTTCACAAAATGTTGCTAACGCAAAAAGTCATTAATGTTGACTTATTCCCTCTTATTTTCTTACTCTATTTACACTACATGCTTTTAAAGTTCACTTTTCCAATCTTTTGATATATATATATATATATATATATATATATATATATATATATATATATATATATATATATATATATATACATATATATATATATATATATATATATATATATATATATATATATATATGTATATATATATATATATATATATATATATATATATATATATATAATAAGCTTTATTAAGGATTTAATAAGGATTATTCAAAATATAGATTATTGCTAAAATATCTTTAAAAAATTGAAGAAAAAAAATGTTAAAAACTAAGATAAAAACTAAAAATATAAAAAAAAATTGTTAAAAACTAAAAATATTTGCATAAGGGTTTATTAAAGTAATAAATCCATCAACGAAAATAATGGTAAAACTCTTTAATTTTTATCTATATTCGTGCACTTTATATAATTATCTGCATAATCAAATTGAATTATTCCAATATCAAATATCATTTGCATACTCTTCCTACGTGTAGATAGACTTTCTCCTCTGATACAATTTCATTTATAAACTGTTTTATCATAATAAACTACTTCTGTATTAAGTAAAATAGTAAGCGCCAAGTATAATTTTTATTAAACAATTACAATTACGAAATTTCCAATTTGAAATAAATAGTAAAATAATAAACATACAAAATAATAAACAACAACAAAACGTGAACGTCTCCATAATTTAGATTTTTGCAGACTTGCCTCTCTTTTAAAATCAGGGGATGTACCGAAGCTACGGCTTCGGCTTCGGCAATTTTGCCGAAGCTTCGGTTCGGCCCACGGCGATCTATACTGCAGACGCAAAAAACGTATTTCACTGGGGGCCTATTTTAAACTGTACTTAACTATAATCGCCATTTTAGTGATATTGAAATATGGGTAAAAAGTGTTGTATTTATGGCTGTACCACAAATTATTTATCGGCTAAAAAGAAATCTGATAATTTAAAGATCTCAGTATATCGATTTCCTTAAAATGAAGATGAAAAACAAATGTGGATTAAAGTAATTCCAAATGCAAATCTAAAGGTAACTAATGACACTGTAGTTTGTGAGTTGTATTGGCCGATAAATTTTGAAAAACAACAAGTTAGAGGAAAATTTCGTCCTAAATTTCCACCATCTGTTTGGCCAGGCATACCGTCTTGTCAAATTCCCACTCAACCTCCTCCATTACGTTCAACAAATAGTGCCTCTTCATGTATTCGAAATTTTGCTCAAGATGAATTTTCAGCCTTTTTAGAAAAAGATAAAGTAACTTTTGCTGAAATGAAAGAAATTCTTTTATGTAATGAAAGAGATTTGGGTGTTCCATCAGTATGTTTTATGATTAATAGCATTATTCATTTGCAATCACAAGCTTATTCAAATGGGGTTCCATATTTTTTAATCAAGATTAGAGACGATTTACATTTTGAAACTTATCACTATGGAGTCAAAATTAAAATTCCTACAATTTCTAAAAACTTTTCAAAAATTAATGCATGGTCAATATTAGAAGAAGTCCTACGTTATTTAAAGAGTTTGATTCCTGGAAGAAAAGAAATTGTAATTCAAGAACATTTAGCTTCTATGGGTACACAGTGTGTTGGAAATAAGATTTATTCTAAAGAAATTATTATTAGATCTTTTCAGTATTTTGCTACATCCAGAAGTTTGTATAATCAATTGCGAACAGATTACCAATTGCCTTCTGTAAGAACTTTGACAAGAATAACTTCAAAAGTTTCTAAATTAAACTAAAAACTTTTTTTCACTAATATTTTCAAATCTATTGAAGAAAAACAGAAAATTTGTTTGTTATTGCATGACGAGGTTTATGTTAAAAAAATGTTGTTATATCATGGTGGTACATTGTTCGGAAAAGCAATGGATGATTCAACTTCTCTTGCAAAAACTGTATTGGGTTTAATGGTTAATTGTTTATTCGGTGGGTCATCGTTCATTTCCAAAATGATACCTATAAGTAAATTAAACTCTCAATTTCTTTTTGAACAAATTAGCATTACTATCCAATCAATAAAGGAATCATTGGGTCAAGTCAAAGCCATAATATGTGATGGAAATAGAATTAATCAGGCTTTTTTTAAAATCTTCGAATTCACAGTTCCAAGTAAACCTTGGTTGACTAATGATGGTGTTTTCTTAATCTTTGATTATGTACATTTGCTTAAAAACATTAGAAATAATTGGCTAACTGAAAAAACTGGTCAACTTATATTTTATGATAAAGGGGTACAAAAAGTAGCACAATGGGATCACCTGAAAAAACTTTATGAACTTGAATCTAAAAACTTAGTTAAATTGTCTAATTTAAACGAAGTTTCAATATTTCCAAAGCCAATCGAGACGCAGTCAGTGTCTACCTGTTTAAGGATATTTTGTGACAAAACTTACCATGCTTTGATTAATCATCCAGGACTGCAGCATATAAAAAAAAGAGAAGACAGCAGATTTTATTAACATTGTCGTATCATGGTGGAAAGTTCTTAATGTTAAAGGAACAGGTGCAGATGTTAGGTTTAATGATGAACTTCAAGCAGTTATTAGAGATCCTAATGATAATAGATTAGAAAGTATTTTAGATTTCGGAAATATGGCTTTAAAGATGGCTGGAAAGCAAGGTAAAAGGAAGAAACAACTTACTTGTGACACTGCACAATCAATTTACCATACGTGCAATGGTGTTGTTGAATTATGTCGTTCATTATTGAATAGCTCACACCAATATGTTATTCTTAGTGAGTTTTCTACTGATCCATTGGAAAAAGAGTTTAGCAAATTGCGACAAGGTTCCGGAGGTACATATTTTATAACAGTACAGCAGGTAATTGAAAAACTGAATATTTCAAGAGCCAAGCTTTTACTATCTCTTAATAACCCAGCTGTTGACATATGTCTTGATACAACCCATTCTTGTCCAAATTGTGGTTTTTTATTGGATGAGTCCTCTGCTGAGATATTTGACAACCTGCCAAATCTTGAATCTTTTATTTCTTCTGATACAAATATGGCACTTATATACATATCAGGATATTTAACTCGTAAAGATAATGAACTATCAGAAAATGAGCTGCTAGAAAAAACAACTTTCTACCACCAAAAGTTTGGACAATACATAGACTCAATTGACCGTGGTGGACTTCACACAAATAATACCTGTCAATGGGTAATTTTTTCTTTTATAATTTTTAATACGATTAAAGATAAAGTATGCAGAGTTTCATTGAGCAATATTCTAATGAGGATATCAGAGTTTTACAACTTTGAGATGCATCGACATCACGGAAATATTCTTTCAAACATTTTTTTAAGCAATTTATGTAAACTTTCAACTCCTCGTTCAAATAAAGAACTAGCTCAAAAAATATTAAAATTGTCATGAATTCTTAAAATATTATTGTATTCTTATCACAAATTTTTAATTGTAATTTTATGTATATGATTATTTAAGTGTGTAAGTATATATATATATATATATATATATATATATATATATATATATATATATATATATATATATATATATATATATATATATATATACACATATATATATATATAGAATATAGATATATATAGAGAACAGAGCAATAATTAATTATTAAAAATATTTATCTATCTTTTTTCTTCAACTCTGAGTTTCGCTACTACACTACTACTGGATCTTTAGGAATATATATATATATATATATATATATATATATATATATATATATATATATATATATATATATATATATATATATATATATATATGGTTTTTGTTTTTGAATTTGAGTTTTTTTGTTTTTGAATTTGAAAAAATTTATAAGTTAAGAAATATTTTGTTTGAATTTTAGTTTGTTTGTTATAAAATGAAACAGTTTGAGAGTAAAAAGTTCATTGAGTTAATATAAAATTACTGAACACTTTTTTGTTTTGTTTTTGCCGTTAAAATAAAATAGGCCCCCAGTCAACTAAGCTGTTTGCGCGATGGCAAGGCCTTCAGTATAGATTGCCGTGATTTTTGCAAATACCTATGGTGATTTTCGAAAGTTTAAGTTATTTTTCGAATTTCAGAAATTCCACGCTTCTGATGAGTCTCAAGGAAATTTGAGGTCGGTAAAAACGTAGCAAAAAGCAAATTAATGGACCTACATAAACTAAAGAGTTGTGCCATTTAAGTATTTACCCAGTTAACCATTCCAACTGGGGCCCATCTGGGTTTCCCACATGCGTCCCATTGCGATTCTGTCAGTGGGATCCAACTGGGTCCCATATGGGATTAGTCTGGGTTTTTGAAGGAAAATCCCATATTGAACCCAGATATTGAACTCGAATCTGCGAAATAATGTGACAATTTTTTGAATAAAAAGCGTCGCATTTTTTATATAAAATTAAAAAGTAAAGGTCTATCTATATTGAATTCGCTGCCAGGGCAATAAAATGTATTAGGCAAATGAATATTTGGCCTCACATAATTTTTGAGAATCAATTGAAAAAACAGATTTGAGTTTCATAATATTTTTAAGCAAAAAAAAACTAATATTATACAATGATTTGATGCAAAACTGTTCTACGATAGTAGTATTCTGCCACAGTAGTTCTCTCATATCGCCACCATATCGCATGACAAAATTCTGCTTTAAAGTTTATCGTTATCGTTTTCTTTAGAGCTTTCATCCACTTTTACACTAATTTTATAAACTAAAAATAAACATTTGAATAATATTATAAATTATAGCATATATATTTACAAAGTATAGATAAAAATATTTAATGAAAATATTATTTAGGGCATACCATGCAGTGTGCCATATTATGCCATATCTTGCATATAACTAACAAACACTAGGCAAACAAAAACACACGTACAAATCACAAGCTAACTCAATACAATATATAAATCGATATACGTGTTATAATAATAGCCAGATTAAAGTAGAGGCCCAGGGCAGGACAATTAATTATTCACATAGTTTGTTGTTACAAAAATAACAAAAAAATAAAATAAACATAACATATATAATAAAATATAAAAATATATACTGGAGAACTAAAGCCTCAATATGACACCATGAATAACGGTGTTTCAACTTCTTTAGCTGGTATCATCTAGTTTTAAAATTTCTTCAGTTTTTCTTTTTAACAGGCATCCTGCAGGAAATCTAAAATAATGTTATTTCATGGTAAATAACTGATGTTAATAATTACGCATGACATAAATAGACTTGTAAATAACAATAATATAACATGAATACTATGTTACCATTTAAAATTTAAAGTCTTGACTCAAGTTAACCTGACATCAAACCATTAAATCAGTTGGGGAGGGTTTAATATCTTTTATATAATTTAATAAATGCAAAAATAATCAATATCACTAACATTTCCATTGTACCTAATTAAACAATAATCATTTTAGGTTATATTAATACTTGAAAAAAATTATTTGTTACAATTTAAACATATTGAAAAAAATTAAAAACAATTGTAATTTTGACCTCAATAAATTTTGTAATAAAATTATTTTCACAATGAAAATTTACAATTATAAACAAGTGTAGAGTACTTATATTATTATATATAATAGTTATATTTATGATTAATCTAACATAACGTATTTCAATTATTCTGGACCAGAATTTATTGTTTAATTTCATGTTGTCTCAGAGCTACATTTTGTGATTATATATTAAACTTATTTCACAGTAAATTCTAAAAAATATAACATCCTAAGAAACTGGTTTAAAAAATCATTATACATAGATAACTTTTAAACTTTACTACATTGTGACATTGGCAGCATGCATTGATGACAATACATGCTGCCATTAAACTATTTAAAAATTGACTATTGAAATCATATTGCATGAATAACATACATGCTTTACCATATATAAATATTATTGCAAGTACATATTATTCTACTAATCAACAGATAAATGAAAATAAAAGTAAAAACAAACTACCATTGAGGTATCAAATGAAGTTTATGTGAAAAATCCTTTAAATGTATATTTATTCCAAATCATGTCACACTACTGTATATGTAGTTTTAAAAATGTTTTTTATCATATATATTCATAAACTTTTAATGAAAATAATGTAAAACACACCATTCTTGTTCTAAAAATATGTGCTATCATAATAACATTCACATTACTTAGAGATTCACAGTCCATCTTCTATTCACAGAACTTATCCATTTACAGAAGCCCAGGTTAATATTATGAAAAACCTGTATAATTTGCAAATTCTATATATATTTAATATACAGAGATTATTTTATCAGGGTTGCCACTATAATTTTTAAAGTTTTTCCCTGAGATTCCCTGAGTAAAGAACGTTTTTCCCTGAGTTGAACTCTTTAAGTTCCCTGAGTTTTCCCTGACTTTTCTATATTCTTTCCTGTTCATCAAAGAGATTATTATTTTCCTAAATTAAACACAATCTTTACATTTGACAAACTAAAACTTTTACAACAACACCCACAACTAGCAAACTTATTATTATATGTAATAGCAAAATATTGTTGAAAAAAAAATTATTGTACAAAATTAAAAAAAAAATTATTTTCCCTGAGTTTTCCCTAAACTTTATGAAAATTTTAGAAAATCCCATAGTATTCCAGGTTTTCCCTGGGATTCATGCTATTTCCAGGTATTCCATGTTTTCCAGGTTGAGTGGCAACCCTGTTTATTTATTTTATCAAACTCTGTAAACTGATAGTTTAAGATATTAAAACTCGGGGAATGTAAAACTTTCCTGAACTTTCTGAAACAAAAATATTCAAAATAATGTTGTCAGATTAAGTGTTAACTTACTAGATTTAGATGAGCCATTTCATAGGAGATTATATAACTAATGTGTAAAAAACTAACATTTGTTGAAGTAATGCATTTTCTGTTGTAAATCATAAATCAACACAAACCAACTCTAAAAACAAAACATAGATACTATTGAACTTCTTCAATAAATTTAATAAAGTTTTATTAAAATTTAAAATTTAATTATGTTGTATACAAAAATAACATAGATAAAAAAAATTATTACCAAAAAAAATTGATATCTTTTTATAACTTTATAAATAAACATATTATATATGACTATATGATATCATATAATAACACAATGAAATTAACTTACTATAGCAAGTGAAAAATACAAAACACTCATGATTATTGAAAGATTCAGTTTTTGCAATATTTAGTATCAAAACTACATTTTCATTTTTATATTGCACTTGAGTAGCATTTTATGATTGTATATTTAATTTATTTCAGAACATATTCTAAAAAAATTATGTAACATCCTGTGATAAGTAAAAAACATCTTAAAACCTTAAAACTTAACCTTTCCCTCTTTTAGACCAGCCAAATTGTTTCTTAAACAAATGTCTGAATATTGCTATCAAAATATATATAAATATTTATATTTAAAAGAATTAAAAAATGTATTTAATAAATAAATATATTCAAACAAAATGTGATAATTTTCTTATTACTTCAGATAAATAAAACTAAACGTTAAAACATCTAATAATTTTTGTTATTATTTACTATTATGTACAAATAATTCACAATATAAATAAATTAAACATTTTTTCATACAAAACCTTATATTATAACTTATAATATCAGTTACAGTATTTATAATATAATACTTATATTATTAATTATATAAATTATAGAAAATGTAAAACATTTATGTAGTTATAAATAATATGTAAAGTTTAGATAAGGCAGTATTACTTAGTAAAACCTTACTATGTTTTGTAAAGTGTCATTGAGATTTGTTTGAAAAAAATAATTTAAAATGAAACACACTAACTTAGTGACTAAGTCATAACTGTTAGCACACCAAACCTTAAAAACTAATTTGAAAAATTTTCAACATTTGTCTATTGGATAAAAAAATAAAAATATGTCTTCAGTTTGATAAAAATTTTAAAAGTCTGTAAAAAAGTAAACATTGACATACTCTCAAACTTATTAATGGTTATGAAATTTAGAGCATTAAAGAAGTATGTTAATTATTAGCATTTAAGAAGTATATTACGAACGGCAATTTCCTGAGATCGATCCCTGTTTTGATTGGTTAAAAATTTTGAGTTTCGCAGAGTCCGATTTTAAAACATCTCGTAAGCCGGACTCTAAGACTTGAGGAAATTTTTAACGCATGCGTTGTTTTAGTAGGTTTAAATTCTAAACCTTGTTTTAAATTTAAAAACAATGCGCGTTCTTATAATAGCAACTAGTTTGGTGAACTTAAAATTTATCAGAACTTGTTTATTAAATTTGAAAAATAATAAATTACAATGGTGAGTTTTTCTATTAATTATAATAATTCTTATATGATGAAAAAAGATTATAAAAATTCTTTTATAACAAAGTCTTATATTTACCTTCATTCAAAATAAATATAATTATATTTATTTTGAATGAAGGTAAAAGGAAATTATATATTATAATATATTATATATTATAAGGTAATATATATATATATATATATATATATATATATATATATATATATATATATATATATATATATATATATATATATATATATATATATATATATATATATATATATAAGGTAATATATTAAAAGGTAATAAAATATATTATATATTATAAGGTAATATATATAAGGTAATATACTATAATATATTTTAAGGTAAATGCATTAAGATATATAAAAATTTATAGATTTAAAAAGTTATAGATCTATAACTTTTTAAATCTATAACTTTTTAAATTTTTAAATTTTTAAATTATAATGATATCACAAATATAAGATCTATCTTATATTTGTGATGTCATTATAATTTATAATGACATCACATTTATAATAAATATATCTATAATCATATTCATAATATTGATAATAATAAGAAGAAATGAATGTTTATCATTTATACATTTTTGTTGTATTTATACTGTTATATTCTATAATATTGATATAAGATAGGATGTATGAATATTAATTATAAATTTTATTCTATATTGATTATATCTGTATAGAATTAAAATCTTTCATAGATAGTATGCATACATAACTAAAACAAAATATGTTATATTGATCAAAATGCTGTCTACTTAACTCATTAATAAAAGTCAGTTCATGTGATTAGAAATTTTAGTACAACATTAGCAATCTTTAGCATGCACCAAAAGTAGATTATTAAAATTATTTATACTGCAGACCTAGAAGGTTCTGCATATAATCAAAACTATAAAAATTAAAACTGCTTTGTTTTTCCAAAAAGTTTACTGCATAATTATCCTTTTTGTACCTAATATTTAATATTATTAATTTTTTGTACTTAATATGTTTATACATAAAAAAGCCATTATTTCATAACGTTATAAATCGAATATAAAAAGAACAGAACTGCCAAGTCTAACTTAAAGACCCCGTCAACTATATATATAAAACAAAATGCAAAATATATTAACTTCTTAAGAAATACCTTTACCATCATTGATAATTTTTTTTTTGGCTGCATACTTGTATATAATTAACATGATTGCATAGAGCTTGGAAAAACCTAATTCAGCTTTAAAAACACAATCAAAATATTTATTAAAGATGTTTTATACAACTATGTTAGCTTGTTGTTGCTTTCAACTTTAATTTAGTTTATTTTAAGAAAATTTTATTAACATAATTAAAAACTTGATAATTAAATTTTATTAATATAATTCAATTTAATTATGCAAATAAAATACTTTATCCTAATTATAAAACCTAATAAAAGATTACTACATTTGTCCAACAACATCTGTAGAGTAGTCTAAGATCATTTGTATACTTTTGTTCAAGATCATCTGTATTTTTTTTATTCCATCAACATTTGTTCAGTATTATCTGGAAATTTAATGATCCCTAACAACATCTTTAGGAAGATGTAACTATATCTGGTAATTTTCTCCCAGCCTGTAATCCATCTGGTAATTTTTCTCCAACAATGTCTGGAAGAATTTTCTCCAGATGTAACTACATCGAAAAAAAACCCATATATGAAATTACATCTGTCTAAAAGAATGCATTTATGTTTAATATTTTTTTCCAGATGTAACTACATCTTAAAAAAACCATATGAAACTACATCTGGTAAATATAACGCATTATATTATTTTTTTCCAAATGTAACTACATCTGAAAAAAAGACATATATGAAACTACATCTGGGTAATATAATGGATTTTAATTTAATAACTCCATAAAATCCTGTAGTTATATTTAATATAATTGAAAAGATGTAACTGGAGAATTCACAGATGGTTAGCTATATTTTGAATGATACAAAAGTAGGTTCGCAATATTGAAGAAAACATAGACCTAGAGTGTCTTCACAAGATATTGTGCATTTAAAGTTTTTATTAAAATGTAGGACCTACCTTTAAATCATCCTATTTAAACATTGCTATTTATAAATTCAAATTCTTGAGCAATTTTTGATAATGAAATGAATGAAGACAATTATTCCATCAATTTGCATTTTCATTTTATCTTTAATAATTATGGCAAATATCTCAGTAAAGTTTTATTATTTCTAACATTGTTTTAAAGTTGTTTGTCAAGGTTCACAAGTTAAGCAAAGCACTACCAGGAGCGTGGTGGATTGATCTCAGAACTTCTCACTTATGAGGCAAGCTATCGCTATTTATCACTTTGATAACTAAAATGCACTCTACAAAATGATAATTAGTAGCAATTTTATTATGAAAAGAGATTCATTTGACCATTTGATCAACTGATATTAAGGTAGCAAATACTTTAAAGAAAAAACACTCACTATTCTCAACAAAAGCATGACTTGCTTTGATACATTATTCATTAGAAATTTTTCAGGAATTTGTTTTGAACACATCTTTACAATTATAATTTCTAATCACATGAACTGACTTTTATTAATGAGTTAAGTAGACAACATTTTAATCAATATAACATATTTTGTATTAGTTATGTATATATACTATCTATGAAAGATTTTAATTCTATACAGATATAATCAATATAGAATAAAATTTATAATTAATTTGCATACATCCTATATAATATCATTATTATAGAATATAAAAGTATAAATAGAACAAAAATATATAAATGATAAACATTAATTTCTTTTTATATCAATATTATGAATATGATTATAGATATATTATAATGACATCGCAAATATAAGATAGAAATCTATAACTTTTTATATATCTTAATGTAAATGTAAACATGGACTTCTATAACCTTCTATTTATTTTGAATGAAGGTAAATATAAGATTTTGTTATAAAAGAATTTTTATAATCTTTTTTAATCATATAAGAATTATTATAATTAATAGAAAAACTCACCATTGTAATTTATTATTTTTCAAATTTAATAAACAAGTTCTGATAAATTTTAAGTTCACTAAACTAATTGCAATTAGAAGAACGCGCGTTGTTTTTAAAAACAAGGTTTAGAATCGTAAATTATATTTTCCGTGAAAATTCACGGAAATTAAGAAGCAATTTTGGCTATTTTCCGTGAAAATGACGTATTTCTGAGTCAACCAATAATCAACGTTTAAAAAATTAATAGAATATAGGAAGCAAGTTTTGTAGTGTATGAATATTTATAATATAATGACAATCGATTTAATTTTAATATTGATTGACATATATTGTCAATCAAAATTAAAATCAATTGAATTCTATTGTTTTTGATTGTTTTTTTGATGTTGAAACAAAGCAAGTATTTGTGCAAATATTTGCTTTGTTTTTAAAAGCTTTAAGTAATTTTCGCTGAATAAAAACTTTGTTTGCTTAAAGATTAAGCCAACAAAGTTGTTTTTATTATTAAAACTTCTTTGTATTTAATAGATAGCATAAAAATCTCATCCAATCTATTAAACACAAAGAACCTTTAGTATAACTTCGTTTGCTTAAGCTTTACACACACACACACACACACACACACACACACACACACACACACACACACACACACACACACACACACACACACATATATATATATATATATATATATATATATATATATATATATATATATATGTATATATATATTTATATATACACACATTATAGTCTGTCAGGTCAGTCATAATAATCACCCTGCTACTGATAACATCTAGTTACCAGTAGCAGGGTGAGATATTAGACATCCTGCTGCCTTGTAGATATTAAAAATTCTGCTGCCTTGTAGAGTTTCCTTTTATAAGTAAAGGTAGGGAAGTTAACTCTGATATAAAAAACCTTCTCTAACTTCTCTAGAGCCTTTGGGCTCTAGAGAAGTTAGAGATGGTATTTCAAAACATATAACATAATAAATACTCATATTGAACATGTTTTAATTACATCTGAATACTGTCTTTTAGAAGTAATTCTTTTGCAAAAACTTTACTAAGACTCTTCTTTATTTATTTGGCTGCCAAACAAACCAAAACAATTATTTAACATTACTGTTTTCTGCAATACTGTAACAATGTCTGATTCTTCCTCTGATAACGAAAAAATTAAACCATTTATGGATGAAATTAAAAATTGGAATGTTGTTAAACTGAAAGAATTCCTGCAAGCAAGGAGTATTCCTCTTGGTGAAAATCCTTCAAAAAAAAAAATGTTAAAAAACGTTTATTATGCCAATAAACTTAAATTACCATTAAATAAAACTGTACAAGAAGAAACTGAAGAAATTAAATCCAGATCTCTTCGAAAATTAAAATTAAAATCAGGTGTCCAGCTTCCCCATCCTTTTGAAATCGGAAATTGGGTGTTAGAAAAAGAAGTAGTAATAAAATTATTACCAACCACAAACTATTTGGACATTGAAACTTATTCTTTTCTCACTCACAGCTCTAAAGCCTTGAAAGAAGGACATTCTCTTTATTCTTCAGGTCATGTAACCTCAGTTGCTTTTAACAGCTTATCAGATGCTGTAAAATTTTGTTATTTAAAAGGAACTGTAGTCCCTCAAACAAGAATAAATGATGAAGAATATGAATCATGGGTATGTTTGAATAAAAACGGAAGTATATTCACTGCAGAATGCAATTGTGTAGCCGGTTATGGAGAAAGCTGCAAACATATATTTGCTTTGTTGTTGTTTGTCGAAGAGCATGTGCGATTAGGAGATAATGTAACATGCACATCAGTAAAACAAAAGTGGGGGACTAAAACACAGAAGAGAAAATTGCATGAGCCAGATATATTTCAAAATATTTCCATTAAAAAAGTCAAATCAAGCTTAGAAAATAGTAATCTAAAACTCAGTCGATTCTTATATGATCCTCGTCCTTATTATTTAAAGCAGTCAGAGTTTACAAAGGAAGATTGGGAAGCAGTTGCAGAAGCAACAGATGGAAAATGTGCTGTAATTTGCCTCAAGCCAAATATACAGTCAGAATACTTTATGAAAAAATTACCTTTAAATGCAACTAAAAACAAAGTGCTACCACCTACCATAGAGCATTATGTAGCTCAGATAGAATGTTCTTATAAGAATGAATCAATAACATTTAAATGTGAAAAAATTTTAAGGACGTTTTCAATAACACCATCTCAAGCAGAACTTATAAAAGAAGCTACGACATCTCAATCAAAAAGTTTACTTTAGAAATCATATAGAGTTGGAACAATATCATCATCTATTGCTCATGCTGTCATAGCAAAATTTGATGTTGACTTGAAAGTGAAAAACAAAAAGGCAGCATTTAATTTATGTGCTCAAATTTTATGTTACAAAAATAATGCTAAAAGTAAATCAATTCAATGGGGTAACATGTTTGAATCCTATGCTCGAAAAAGATATATCAGGGAAATGAAAAAAACTCATAAAAACTTTACATGTTATCAAACCGGCCTAATAGTATCCATCAAAACACCTTATCTTACAGCAAGCCCAGATGGTATAACAAGTTGTACTTGTTGTGGGTTGGGTTTGCTTGAAATTAAATGTCCATGGACATTTAGGCAGAAAAAAATATGTGAATATGCTCAAAGTGCTGAAAGTTTTTTTGAAAAAAATTCTTGTACTAACACATACTCACTGAAAAGTAGTCATCAATATCGCACCCAAATACAACACCAGTTGTTTATAAGTGGCTATCCTCATGCTGATTTCTATGTATGTTTAGCAAGTGATCAAAACTGTGAAAGAATTTATTCTGATCCTAACTATAAAAAAAATGAACAAAAATTTCAGAAATTTTTTACAGAGTATGTTTTCCCTGAATTGATAACTAAGAAACTTGAGAAAAAAGAAATAGTTACTACAATTTTAAATGATCTCATAAAGAAATGCATTAATGATTCAAACAGTAAACAAGTTAATGAAAAATTAACAAACGACATCATAAATCTTGATCAACAAAAAATATGACATTGTGCTGAAAATTTGATGAAAACATTTATATTATAAGTATTTTGTGATGTTTTGTTTTTTTTTATACAAAAATAAAAAGAAAAAATAGAGATATCTTTTTATTAGTATCAGCATATTTAATTTACATCAGATAAATTCCTTTACAATTGAGGGTTGTAAATTACTTAAAGCTCCACAAATAATATATATGTAATCAATGAGATCTAGCATTGTTAGTGATAACTCGTTTTTACATATTTTAAATTCTTTAAGTCGTCGAATTGATCGCTCCACATGGACTCGTGATCTAGCAATTTCTTTGGCTGAGAGGACTTTAGTTCGTGTAAAATGTAGTCCTTTTTTTTTAAAAGGTGGACAAACCAATACGACTTTTTTTTTTAAGAGCAAATCTTGGATATTAAAACCTTTATCAGCCAAGCAAACAGATCCTTCAGAAAACATATTAATAACATTGCAGTCCTCTGTAATGTGTCTATCTGAAGCTTGGCCACCATAAGCTTTGGAGATAAAACTGAAAGAACCAGTTTTTGTTGTCACAACTAGTTTTTTTAATGTGTTACAACTTTTATAAGTACTAAATGTTTGATACTGTGCCTTCGCATTTGATGGTTTCTGAATTTTTTGCTCAGTACAGTCTATTATACCTTCTACGTTGTGTAACTTTCCAGAAAAATGCCTTGCTTTATATAACAAATTTGCTTCTTTTGTTGGCCAAAGAAGAAGAGGTTTTAACTCATTTCCAAAATAAGTAATCCAGGTAGTTAATATACTTGAGCATTGAGAATTAGAAATTGAAAATCTAAATGCTAAATCTTGAATAGCCAAGTCTAGTCGGAGCTTCATGCACATTAGTAGAATTTCATCTTCAATTGTTAAAGTGCGTTTATTCCCTGGTTTTTTTTTATTCTCGCTTCTAAATTTAAAAGATTGTGAAGGTTTTCCCTTGTAATAACATACGTTTTTATATTTTTTCTTTCCTTTACTAACTAAAAACATAAATACTTTTTTTGTGCACCCAGTGTAGAACTTTATCAATCTATCCGAATGGGATAACCTATTCCAAGTAAACTCTGCTTGTGGTATCAAAGAAAACTTACTCAGCAATCGTTTACGATGTTTTAATAACAAAGGTTTTTTTAGTATTCTTTTGGGAGTATTTTGAAGTATTTTTAAGTCTTTTTCTAACGAAACAGAAACAGGAACAACAGGTAATGCATAATCGTGATCATAATGAATATCCATAGGCTGAGTATTTTCATTTTGATGATGATAATCATTATTTTTATCATGATTAATTATATTTTGATCGTGATTATATTCATTTTGATAATGATTATCGCTAAGCTTAGCAACAAACTTTTTCTTGTTGAGTTCTGAGGATCTTTTTAATGGAGATTTTCGGTTTTTTAGCTCATTATCATAACCATTTAAATATTCTGTGGGGTAGGGATAAATATTAGTAGGTCGTCCCATTTTAAAATGATTTGAACAGACTGGCGAGTTAAGAGAAACTCTAAAATGACTTCTAAAAAGTCCAATTTTTGAATTCCATTTAGGCAACATCTTAGCGTCCTTGCATCTCCAAAATTTTAGTTGCAAACTACCATTAAAACTGTTAATATGGTCTTTGATAACGTATTTATTTGGATATCTTCTATCGTTGTTGCAGTTTTGAACGACGCAATGATCCCCCCCACCCATTTTATAATTTATATAATTTTATTTTTTCTAATTTATATGTTTTATTTACTTAGTTTTTCTTTATTTATTTTCTTTAATTTACTTAGTTAAAAATTGTTTTGGTTTGTTTGCGCCTCCGTTATCCCATCATGCTTTACGCGTGAAATTTGAAAAATTAATAGCGAAAAGGCGAATTTAAACCTACTAAAACAACGCATGCGTTAAATATTTCCTCAAGTCTTAGAGTCCGGCTAACGAGATGTTTCAAAATCGGACTCTGCGAAACTCAAAATTTTTAACCAATCAAAACAGGGATCGATCTCAGGAAATAGCCGTTCGTAGTATATTAAGAGTATGCCATGTTTTTTTTGTTTTTTTTTTGTTTCTTTTTTTTGTAAAATTGTTTGTTAAATGATATCTAAATATTGCTATAAAAATATTTATACTTTTATTATAAATTAAAACTGATATGTAAATAATTATTTTTTACAAAAATACTAAAAAAGAACCAAATTAAGTTCCTGTTCACTTTAAATGCAAGTGTATATTCAATCCAAATCAATCTGCATTACTGCATATATCATTTTAAAAGATTTTATCGTATTTTCAAGCATAATTTTTGCCTCACTCGTTGCGCCATATGCGACCCATCTTTTACCCAGTTCAAATCCTAGCCATAACTCAGTTCCAATAATCTAGTTACATTCCAGCTGGGACCCAGTTGTTGTGGTTAACTGGGCAGTTTATGATTTTTATTATTAATTACTATTATTTACAAGTAATTCACAATATAAATTATTTAAATATTTTTTCATATAAAACCTTATACTACAAATTAAAATTAAAGTTATAATATTTATAATATAACTCAAATTATAAATATTATCACTTTACAAAACATAGTATTACTATGTTTTGTAAAGTGATAATATGACTATTAGTAAGGTTTTACTAAGTGACACGGCTATATGTAAACTTTAGATATCATTTATAGATGCATAATATAAATGTAAGATTTAACATTTTCTATAAGTTATATATAATATACTTATGAAAATATTATTTTTTCATACTTATGAAATTCATACTTATGAAAAAATTAAAATCATACATTTATTAAATGTAAGATTTTACATATTTTATAAGTAATATAGTTAATATATTTCTCATTGTCTATATTATCAAATATAATATATTTGATAATATAGAAAATGAGAAATATATTAACTATATTACTTATAAATTATGTAAAATCTTACATTTAATAAATGTATGATTTTAATTTTTTAATGAGTATGTAAAACTTGCATATTATTTATAAATACATAAGCCTTTATTAAATGATTTATGTGAAAATAAATAATATGTAAAGTTTACGTACGACAGTGCTACATAGTAAAACTTTGCTATGTTTTGTAAATAAAATTTGTCGAAACGTCAAAGTGCTGTTTGAACAGTTTTTAAAAATTCTAGACCCGATTACGGTATTTGCAATGTTATATAAATGATATCAAATTAATATTAATCGAAAATATTATTAATAATTACATGATTAATAATAAATATTAAATAGAAATGTTATTAAATGTTATTAAAAATCTCAGAGTTCTTTTATTTTAAAGTACAACTATTTTTCCTTTGGAGATTGCATCGGTCAGTAAAATTTAGATTGCACTTTGAAGGATTGGATTTAGTGTTTTCCATAACTTTTTTTTTTAAGTCACTGTAGTGATTTCTGATTGGTTGATTTTTTTCTTTTATTTAAAGAATGCATGCTCAAACCAAAACCTTTAATTGATGTATGTGCACTCACTGTGTCTATCCCTACATCAGTCAATATTTGTAAATAATAAACATAAATGTAACTTTCAATATACAACAATAATAATAACTTACAATAAAAAAGTTGTTAAAAAACATTTAAAAACATTTTTCAGAATGTAGGAATTCCGTGAGTAATAAACAGAGATACCCCGATGCTAAACACGCATGTTATAGTTGCAATTCTTTTTAAATTTGTACAAATAAAACTTTCAAAATTAACTAATCATATTCGCAGCCGTGACTTTAAATAAACCAATCAAACTTTACTACCGTGACTTTAAGATAAAAAATTAAAGCAACGGTACCGTTGTACTAGACACAACGTAATATATAACCTTTTCTCGTTGTTTCTGTGTATTTTTTTTTAGTTTTGTGATGAATTGGTTGGTCTAAAATATTTTTAAAAAAAATCAAGTTTTGAGTACTTCAGCCTAAATTTTCAATTTAAGTTAAAAACCTTTTAAACCCCATTCTCTTCTTTCTTTCCGTCCGTCTTAATATTATTTAAAATTTTGGCAAAAATTTTAATAATAACGTATTACTATATTATTAAATATATTGATATCAATATTTGTATAAAATTAGCTTCAGTATAATGAATAATAAAGAGTTATATGATTGGTATCTATGCTTAAATGATAAATGTTTAAAAACGGTATGCACGAATTATAGAAACCGATTCTCAAATTTGTTTTCAGTAACCGAAAATAATTTGAGTTTGTACAACAAAATTAAAATTGTTATAGATAAACTTAAATCGTTAAAAAAAAAAAAAATCAAAAAAAAAGATATATATAAGCTGATGTCCTTTATACCGCCTATTTCAAAAAATAATTTTGAAGTTTGTATATCAAGTGAGAACAATAAAACAAAAGGCAAAAAAAGAAAATTGAAACATCAAACCTCAAAAAATTGTTTTAAAAGATTAAAACTTGCTTTACCTGATTGTAAAAATATGTTCAAATCTGCTGAAATTCATAATAGTAATATGAAAAAAAACACTTACATCTAATGGCACAAGAATGACATACAAATTATTTCATGCAAGTAATAAAGCAAAGATTCGAGAATTGAAAAAAAAACAAAAAAAAACAAGGAAATAAAAGAAATGAAAGATTACTATAATAAAGTCATTACAAAACATTTTAACCAACATTTTAACATTTTAATAAAACAGTTAAACTTTTGATAGGTAGTTTTGAAAAAATTGACGAAAAGGTTGTACTTCTTCATGAGGAAAAAAAAACTTCATGCAAAAAATTGTATTATGTAAACAAGAAGTATAGCATGGTAGTAAATAAACATGAAAAGTTTTCTTCTTATAGTTTAAATAATCCTAAAAAAGATATTGACTTTCCTAACATCGGAGAAAAATTATTTTACAAAGAAAATAAAGATTTGAACACTTTAAACTATCTTCTCCTTGATAGCAAAGTATGTAGGGGAGAGTTGCCGAAATTGGAACAGCACCTTAATTGGAACACTTGCATTTATTTTTGAAAAAAAATGAATTATGGCTATATTTTGCATTTTTTTAGTAAAACGCATTATTTTCTACATTTTAACACATTTTAAAAGTTATTCCTCAAAAAAATGCGTTTGTACCATTGATTTAAAGTTTTTTTTGCGCCATTTTTTTTCAGCGATCTAATTTTGTGTTTACACTATATTGATTGCGTTGTGTAAACTATGATGGTACTGGTTATACTGTTTTTTGTGTTTAATTCGATTGGATTTAAAATGCAAATTAACAATAAAAGCTTATCTTATAAGTTGCTGCAAGCATGTTATTGTAGTGATATAACAAAATAGTTGCAAGTTTCCTTGATTGGAACATTGAAGTTTTCCTTACCTAATCAGTAATAAAATCAAAGGGTTGTAAAAGTAGTTTAATTGCAATTAAAAAAAATACTTAGTAACAACCATAAACCTTAAAATTAATTCTTTATTTAGTGATTTTTAATCAATAAATTTAGAGAACATCATAACAGTTGAAGATTTATTCAATTTTTTGTTTGTAGACTTTAAATTTATCATGGTAATACTAATCCTATAATAAGTTTTAAATTAACTGTTTAAATTTTCTCTGTAAAGATAAAAATCATTTTTTACAAATTTTTGTTAATTTTACTGGATTTTTTCTTTTTAAAAAATAACCTGTTCCGATGAAGGCATTAAAGTGTTCCAATTTAGGGAACCAGTTGCCTTGATTGAAACAAAATGGTAACTTTGCAAAAACAAATTTATTTCCAATAACAGTGCAATCAGTTAAGTCAAATTGTGGTTAAAAGTATAGTAAGGATGTCTTTTTGTATTAATCAAATCATAAATGTTTTCATAGTTGTGCCATCTTTGGGTATTAATGCAATGTAAACACTCTTTAAGGGCGAAACAAATTACACCAAAAAAAAAAAAATTATATTTTTTAAAATAGATAAAATTGTTTTATCAAAAACACAATACTCTATAAAGCGTTTCAAGGAACACGAGCTACTATTTCATACTTTGTTTAAATCATATAAAATCAAGTTTTTACAGGGTTTTGGGAGTAAAACAAAAACCATTACGAGACCTCCTGAATAAAATATACGTACGTATTTAACACAAGTAACAACAATATCAAGTTTTAAAAAAATGCTGAAAATATGAAATTAGCTTTATTGAGTTTAATTCTTTTGTTTACGCTTATTCGTCATCAGGTTTCCTTTCTATAAAAACAAAACACAAAAAAGTTATCACAAAAGCTGCATTTCTCTGTAACATTATCGTAACCATAAGTATATTAGTTTACCAGAATTAAATAATATTACCGAAACCATAAGTATATTAATTTACCAAAACTAAATAATATCATCGAAATCATTAATATATTACTTTCTACATTAGTGATTAGAAATAAATTTATTATTAAATTTCAAAACTTACCACAAGGCCCACTATGAACATAGTAAATCTCGGATCGGGTTTCACAAGCATCTATTTCCATCAGACATCTGTTATCATAACTTTTTCCGTTTGAAGCACAAATCAGTTCATAGTTAAATGGACATCCTTTACTACATTTTTCTACAACAAAAACATAAATATATTACACACTTTGTAATATATTTATGTATAAATATAGACTTAGTAATATATTTTTATATATTACAAAGTTTGTTATATATTATACAAACAATATGCTACTCGTTTGTTTGAAAGTCCTGAAAACAAAACCGAATGTATGATATTGATGAAGAAAATTTTAATGAAAATTGGATTCAGTGCTTTACATGTAAAGATTGGGCACATGAAAATTGCGTAGAATTCCTACCTCTAACTATTATGACTTTACGTTTGGTGTTAAAAAATAATTTATCTTGAGTATGAATTGTTTATATAGGAAATTTTTTTTTTTTTGTTTTGATTTACTGGTGGATATTTTTTATCATTGTTTTAACAAAACACAATATGTTATTTTGTTTTAAAGGGTAGTCGTAGTTACAATAATGTGTTTCGAATAAAGTAAATTAATTCTAAAAGATGTTGTTTTTAAAATCCTTGATTCAATCCCATTCCTTTTCATCATTGAATAGACTAGAGGCAATTTTTTAAAAAATGTATCAAGGACTTCAAAAAAAGTCTAAGTTATTAAGGTTCTATAATTTTGGACATGCTTAGATGACATTAATTCTGAAATTAAAAAATATCCATAAACCTATAGAAATCACACAAAAGTTGATATAATAATAACTTTCTAACTATTATTGCTTCTAATTATTATAACTGGAAAGTTAAAGGTAAAATGCTAGTTAAATAATGTATTAAGTATGTGCCTAAAGGTTTAAAAAGAAGCGATCTACCCCGGGCATATATTTAAAAATATATGTCCGGGGTAGATGTCCATCCAATTTTTTTAGATGCTTGTTTTCTGACATTTTTTCTTATGTTTTGTGTTTATTAAAGTGCACTGTAACTGTATTTTTTTGCTTTTAAAACGATAATTAGATATTTCTACTTTCATAAAAATAATTTGCCACTATATTTTTAGTTAGTGTTTGAGCAATATACTGCTTATTCCTAAAGTGCCCGGGACTTCCTGACTTTCGCTTTAGTATAGAAATGGCAGGTTTGGTAAAGATCCATATTTTATGGGTCCGGAAATCTTAGGATATATATATAAGGAAAAAGTATAGAAAAGGTCGGTGTGAAATAGACTTATAAAGACCCGTATTTTTACGGGACCGATCAGGTAGTAACAATAAATGGTTATCCGAATATATAATCTGGGTAAATTGAAATAAACTCAATGTAATCTGTAAAACATTTACAAGGAGTCTTGAAACTGTGTAATAGTCAGGGCCGTCCACAGGACTTTTTGATGTTTCAGATATGACACTTTCACGTATTGAGCTAACTCATAACTTTAGTATGTTCATACCTTGACTTCATTTAAAAATACTGTAAATTACAAAATTTGTTACCCCTCATTTTGGAGGGCTGAAAGGTTTGTATGGTAATAACTTTTATAATTTTACAGTTTTTTTAAATGAAATTTAATTCGTGTTGATAAATTTAAATTTTATATAAAATAGTAAAATTAAAAATTTTACAAAATAACTGCCCTCACCTTTGGGCAAGGCAGGGTGCCAAAATTTTAGGATAATTATTTTTGTTCTAAGGCCTCCATTGTTGTCATTGTTTGCAAAGCATCCTCATTTGTCATAGACATAAATATACTTAAGTTTGGAGTTAGCACAATACGTGATAGTTTCATATCTGAAACATCAAAAATCCTGGTATATTTAGGTATATATTAGTATAAATTTATGCTATTGTACATAAAGACATCATAGTTTACAGACTAATCACAAAATGACTATACAAACCTATATTGGATCATATAGGTTTTTAGTAACCTTTGAACTTTTTTTTTCAGAATATATTTTAAATTTTAAGGTTATTTAAATGATAAAACTCAACCTTTATCATCATAGCCTTTTCATAGATTCCTTTAAACCACTTTTTTTTAAAACAACAAAAAACATATTAATTTTGATCTATTTTGCTTATACTTAACATTTTCATGTAGATTGTAACATTTTACATCTAAAGCGATTTATTTTACGTCTGGAGTGATTTTACATCTGGAGTGATTTTACATCTGGAGTGATTTTACATCTGGAGTGATTTTATATCTGGAGTGATTTTACATCTGGAGTGATACTTATAATCTTATAATCTATGCTAATCTTAATGTGTAATAATGCAATAATCTTAGTGTGTAATAATGCAAGAAAAATACACAGCACTCCCGACAGGCATTTGTTTTTAAAAGTTACGTTCTAAATGTATTTTAAATGTCTTTTAAACGTTTTTTGCGTAAGAATGTTCAGAAGACGTTTAAAAGACATTTAAAATACATTTAGAACGTAACTTTTAAAAACAAATGCCCGTCGGGCTGTGATTATTTTAAAAACTGTTTTTGAATAATTAGAGAAATACATTTTGACTGAGCCCTTTTTTTATTAAATTAGTTTTGCGTATCTGGCTATTGGGATACCAATTTTAAAGATGAAATCTGTGACTCGTTTTTTCAAATGTGTTGGGTGTTTGTGTTTTAAAGTTATATTTTTAATGTTTTTTTTATAAATTTTATATCAACTTTTTATTTATTTTTGTTATATTACTTTATTAAATTTAGATATTATCAAGATTTTAATTAAAAAGTAGAATAGTTTAAGTTTACTATGTTCAGTTTTTGTTTTTTTGTAGTTACTAACGTTTTTATTTACTTTAACAACATTAAAAACTTTGTTCCTGTTATGGAAGTGGAAGTTATAAATAAAAAGATAAATACCAACGCGGCTTACAGCTTGCGCAATTACATCTGTTTAACGTAAGAAAAATATTGCAAAAGCTAATCGATTATTTGGATCTATGTTTGGTTAGATTAACCAAACATAGATCCAATGTATATGTTACGCACAGATTGTGCAATCGCGCATTTCACGAACTGTACAATTTTTTGCTCATTTCGTGAAATGGATAGCGTTGTTGTACAGATAGTGAAATGTTGAATTTTCAGAGGTATTTTTTTAAATATTTAATTATACTATGTATAATAAGTATTAATATTGACTTAAATAAGAAATTGCGACTTAAACAGAGTGCTGCTACATCGACTATCTTATAGCCTGACTCGCAACGGAATGCTGCTACATCGACTGAGGGTTTTGGTTGGGCAGGTAGTCTATTAATTAAAAAAACATATATTTATTATAAATAATATTTATTACGCAGAATATGTATTAAAAAAAATAACAATAAAAGTTTAACATTTCACAATCTGCGTAACAGCGCTACCCATTTCACGAAATGAGCAAAAAATTGCACAGTTCGTGAAATTTCACGTGTACGTGTGTAAAATTAAAAATGGCAATTTCGATAAGCAAAAAAACAGCGCTCAAGCAACTTTGTGTATTATGTAAGTACACAACGTTGTGAAAACTTTAGTTTAGTAGTTAGTAGTTGTAGCTAAAACAATACAAAAACAATGTTAGTAGTTGTTTTGCCAACGTTACTCCCGACATTATTCTAACATTTTACCAACGTATGTGTGCTAGCTAGGTTTCATCCTTCCGTTTATTTCTTTATTCTTGCTTTTATTCAATATGGACAAATTTAAACGAATTTGGAGTTTGGTTCTAATCAGGTATCCTTACCTTCAAAAACTTCGTTCGAAATAAAGTACCTGTGGAAAGTTTTTTATCAAAAGTGGTCTTAAAACAAAGTCTTTTAAAGACTACTACTTTCTATAGTACTACTATAGTTGGAAAAAGGTTTAGCTAACCAATGAAAAATACATCAGCGTACTTGCTTAACCATTAAAAAAAATTTAGGAGGTTAATTTCATGTATTTCATGTATGTTTTTTTCTGTGTTGAGCCGTAATAACGCTAAATATGACACCCCCACTCCTATATAATATATAATATAATAATGTTTTAAAAAAGTTTCAAAAACGTACCTTTTTGTTCAGTAAAAACAAAGAGTAAAACAAAGAAGATATAAAACTTCATGCTATCTGATTGTTAACTTTCCTTTCTCTAAAGGTTTTCCTTATTTCAATTTGTTTATATAGGTGAATTGAACCACGTTTATTTTTAAAATAAAATAAATAAATCTTTGTAGACGTTTTTTGAAACATTTTTTTTGTTACTTTTTAGTAAAGGTGAAAACAGAAAACTCTCCATCTCTGTCCCAGCTTATTTTTATTTGCTTATTCATTCAATTGTCGTCTTTACGCAAAAAAAATAAATTATAAAGTTTATTATTACTAAAAATATTTTTATTATTTGGTTGTTGTTATTCGGAAACTGGGAGTGATCATAAACTTACATTCAAAGAAAAAAATTCGAAAAAAAAGATCAAGTTCACACGTTTTTGTAATCAAATATAAAATGTTGCTTCTACTTGGATTGCGCGCACTTTCATTTTTTTCATATTGGGGTACGCGCACTTTACACATTATCAGTATAACGTTACTTTATTTCAACTCACCATATTCTTCTAATAAAAACTATAATTTCTAATAAAAATAATAATTCAATTGAACTTTTTTGGATATTTTTGTAAAGTTAAAGTAAGTAGAGAAATTTCATTATGAAAAATTAGAATTCGAAATTTTTAAGTTATTCTAAACTTTTAAAAAGTCAAAAGAAACTAAAAATAAAAAAATCTGTGAATATAGAGAATTGTTCTGAAGTTTGGTTAACTTATATGAATGTCTAATCTCTTAAAAAAAAAGTTCATGATAAATATTTGCTTATGACTCATATGCATGAGCTTATGTCTCATAATATGATATTTGTAATACAAGTAAAATCAAGTAAATACTACTTGATAAGAGGGTTTTTACATCCACGTAATATTATTTTTTTTTAATTTTTTTTATTTGCTGCTTAAGATGGCTAACTTCCAGACAGACATGGAGTCAACTTCAAACATTTATATGTTTAAATGTCAACTGTCATCTCAAATAAAGGTACTTTGGAAAAGATTGCTAAAATTAAAGCACTAAAAATATATATATTTTTTTACTTGAAATTTAAGGCTCATTGACGAGATTGAAATTTAAGGCTCATTGACGAAATTAAAATTTAAGGCTCATTGAAGAAATTGAAATTTATGAGAAAATATTTAGGCTTTTAAAAACTATTATTAGCTTTGATAAAAAACCATAATCTTTTCATAGATCCCGACGGACCATAACAAAATTTAAATATAATATGTTGCGCAAATAAATTTAGCTTCAATAATAAATAGTCACAAATAAAAAAATTGCAGAATTTTAAAACATCTTAGATTACAAAAACAAGCCTATTTTTGTATATAAGAATTTTGTAAAATTTATTGGTTGACAACCTGCCTAAGTGTTATATGCTTAGGTAATAGGTACCAGCAATTTTAGGTACTAGGTTCCTTTAAGTAAATAGTTAATAAAAAAATAGGAATTTAATTTAAAAAGAAAATAAAAAGTTCAAAAAACTAACATAAACAAACCGTTTTGAAGACGCCATTTTTTGTAGAATTATAAATAAATGCGTCACTAAACTAAGTAAACGTAAACAAAGCTAATTTTTTGTGCTAATGTTTTCAAGCTTTTTTTTTTTTATTCATATATTTGCCGTACATATAACATTTACAAGTTTCGTAAATTAATATTTACAAGTCTCGTGAGTCAAAATATATATAGTGAAATTTATAATTAAATAGTACAGGCCAGACTTCAAGAAGATCGTAATGATCATATCACGAAGCCCTTACAATGTGTTTGATATATTATTATGATTATGTTAAATATAATTATATATTAAGTACAACTATGTTTATATATTCTTTAAATTTAGCTCATAATAAAAAATAAACTCAAAATAAGCTCAGTATAAAATATTAGACATAACTAGCAGCATAATAACTAAACTTGATAAGAAAAAATCAAGTTTTTTTTGTGTGTAATAAACACATTTTGATATATTGTTTGAGAAATTTGAGAAAAAAAAAAAGATTCATTTAGATAATACACATAAACGAGTCAGTTCACTTTGTAGTTGATATATATGTATTTTAATTTATAGTCTTAAAAGAATTCTGAGTATCTGTTTAGATTCAGTATCAGATTTTTTAACTTTTTTTTCAAGAAATTTTGATTGCAAATTGAATCTAGATTGCAGATTGATTTATTTTTAGTTACTAGTTTGTTGTATAAATAAGGACCCCGGTATGAAATTGAGAACTGGGAAAGTTTTGTTTTTTTGAAAGGTGTAATAAAGTTTCCTTTTTCTCTTGTGTTATATTTATTAACGTTATTTATAAAAAAGTTATTTAAAAAATGGTTTGGTACTTGACCTAATTTAAATTTTAGCATAAACAATATATTTTGGTAAATATTAATTTGATAAATATTAAGCACATTCATTTCTTTAAATAAGGGTTCAGTGTGTGTAAATTTGTCTTTATGGTAGATAAGTCTAACAGCATGTTTCTGACGTCGATATAAAGTTTTCAATTTGGTTATATGCGTACTCGCCCAAGCTATATTTGCATATATGAGGTAGCTGTGTATAAAAGAGAAATATATAAGTTTTAAATTACTTTGCAACAGCATAGGTTTTGCTTTATAAAGTAGACCTATGTTTTTTGATATTTTAGTGTTTAAAGCGTTTAATGTGACTTTTCCAAGATAAATTTTCATCAATTATAACTCCTAAAAATTTAGTTTCGTGAGTTCTCTCAATTACTATATTTTCTATTTTTAGAGAGGGTAGAATATTTGGTAGTGTGTTTCTTTGTTGGTTTGAGTGAAATAAAGAGTATTTTGTTTTTTCTATGTTTAGCGATAACTTATTTGTTTTAAACCATATATTTAATTTTTGGAGTTCTATGTTTACATTATCATACAGATCCTTGATGTTTGTCGAAGAGTAAAATAAATTTGTATCGTCTGCAAACATTATAAATTCAAGTTTGCTAGAAACTTTTGGAAGGTCGTTTATATAGATTAGGAACAAAAGAGGAGCAAGAATCAAACCTTGAGGAACACCACAAGTTAATTTTAATAATTTACTGTGGTAATTATCATCTGTAATAACACACTGTTGTCTGTTATACAGGTAACTTTTAAACCACTGCAGTGTATGGTTAAGCTAAAAAGTTGAATGTTTTTCTTTTAACTTAAAAGCAAAAATATCTGAATTTATCTAAACACAATCTAAGCACAATTAAGTTGCAACATTTAAAAGCATGTTTATTTTATAAATTTAAAAAAATAAAAATTATGGCTTTAATGTAAAACTACGAATTTTTAAATACCCAAAGTTTGTGTATTTAAAACAGACAAATTTAGACATGTTTGGCCCTTTTATTATATATGAACTATAATTAAAACATATATATTATTATAAATACGTTTTAATCATAGTACGCGGGAAAATGTTTTACACCATTACTCGTTTTAAAAATTCATTAATTATAACTCACTCTAGTTTATGTTTCAAAATGAATTATATATAAAGAAATTAAAATTTAGAAATTAAGTTTAGATAAATATTGGAAGACTTACAACATTTGCACATTTCAAATTTTGCACATTATAGTTTTAAGGTCTATGGGGGTCTAAGCTTGTCAAGACCGATATAATCAAGCAAGCAGCCAACAAAATTATCAAATTTTTGAATAAGGTACCCACGGGGCCGTCATGCTTCTTCCCAGCTTTTACAAAAAATAAAACTTATGGTACTTGCGCTTAAAGCAATTGGTTTTTCTAAAAAAAATAAAAACCGCTAGTGCCTAGTATAATGTAACAATAAATTTAGCAAATAGGTTTTAAATTTAATGACTTTATGTACGTAAATTTTATTCATTTTTTATTGTGTATATATATATATATATATATATATATATATATATATATATATATATATATATATATATATATATATATATATAATATATATATATATATATAAAACCTTACAAGTTCTAAGTTTTGTTCAGAACTTTTTTTTATTTAAAAAGCATACAAAACTGAGTTTTCCATATACCCATTAATTTTCATTACTTTGTTACAGTAACTAAGTAACTAAGCCATAGATTCTATAGCGATGGCAAAGACTCATTTTACATTGAGCTAGGTAATGACCTAAGACAATGTAAAATTGGAACCCTGGACATAACAGAAAAAAGAAAAAAAAATAGAAAAACTGTTGAGTAAATTATTTCTTTTAAGAATCATTTAGGCAAAACTCATATTTATTTTAATGAATTTATGAAATGATTTTTAGTTTCAAACCTTGGTAATTCACACTGAGATGTAAGCTTAGCTTAAATGACTTCATCTCTTACTTTATTTATACAAATTGATGTAGAAGTAACCAGAGCGACGAATCTTGCAAATCTTACTAAGATCTGTAAGATCTTTCTTATCTTACATAAATTAGTAAGAACTTATTAGTATCATAATAAGATTTGTCAGAAATATTTATTTGAATAACTTGTTAAGATCTTATTAAGATCTTATAAAGAACTAATTAAGAAATGACGGGAGAAAACTATAAATCTTATAAAGATCTTAAAAGATCTTGCTAAGATTTTTTTAAGATCTTAATAAGAAATAAATGTGAGAAAAAAACTACAAATCTTATTAAAATCTTGCTAAGATCTTATTAAGTTAAATTCATATTAAATTTTCATCTAATTTCTTTCGATCGTCCGTTATTTATTTTGCGCTAATTTTTTAAGTGTTATGAATTGAGAGAGTCTAAACAACATCCACATTATTAATGTGAATGTTGTTTAGACTAATCTTCCGTTAAATATATATATATATATATATATAAATATATATATATATATATATATATATATATAAATATATATATATATATATATATATATATATATATATATATATATATATATATATATATATATATATATATATATATATATATATATATATATATATATATATATATATATATATATATTAGGGATGTACCCATGGCAAATGCAGTCCTAGCTAGCACACTTCCATTGGGCCAACCTATGTAAAACCATCGCGAACGTCGGCTCTTTTTTCCAATGCAAATCCGACGGAATTAAAAACATCTGACAAATTTACATTGGT